TTGGGAGAGGGGGCGGCCCCAAGCACACGGCCAGTGACCGCCGGCCCCAGAGGCACTGAGCTGGCCGCAGGGGCGACCATCCTGGAAAATTCCAAGATGGCGGCAGGGGAGAGCTCGTGCGCCTCGAAGCTCCCAGGGTTTGAGATCAATGGCCGGCCGGTCCGCGCCGCAGCAGGCGGGCAGCAGCAGCCCAGGCGGCCCGCAGCGCCTCAGCAGCCGCAGCCGCGGGGGCAGCCGCAGCCGCAATCGCTCAGAGCCCCGGGGGGCAGCACCCGCGAGAGCCCTGCGGGGGCTTTGACGAATGGCAAAGGCAGCGTACGTGACGTCCCGCGCGCCCTGCCAAAGCCCAGCGGGCCTCAAGGCGTCCCGGGCGCGCGCGTTGCCCCAGCCTCGCCGGAACCGGACCTCGAACAGCTCGTCGCGGCGGCGCACGCCGCGACGGCCCCAAAGCCGGCGACCGCCCCGGCCGCCGCCCCGACCGCGGCGGGCGCTGCCAAGCGGGACGCGCGTGCGCAGGAGGCGCTGCGCGACTTCATGGCGCGGAAGAAGGCGAAGATGGACGCGCTGCTGCGGGACGAGCGGGAGGGGCGCGGGCGGGAGCTGGAGGGGCGGCGCGCGGCGGTGCGCGACATGGCGCAGAGGCAGCGGGAGGTGAGAGGGGGCTCTTTGCTGTGCAGCCGCGCGGGCATGATCAATCAGGGTGCTGGGCCCGACGTGCTCTTGCCATCTACTGGGCACCCTTTGACGGCGGGCATGCAGCAGCATGTCAGGCGTATCTTGCTGGGTTGACTCAGCATGCATGTGAACACTTGGCATCCGCTGCGCACGCTTGCGCTGCAGGGGGCGCGGCGGCTTGCCGAGCAGCAGCAGGCGGCAGCGGGCGGCGCACCGGCGCTCGACGACCGGGAGCCTTGGCACTCTGGCCTGACGCCATCTGAGGTGTCCCTGGCGTCGCTTGCTGGCTGCGGCGAGGAGGGCGACACCGCCCACCTTCACGCGCAGCACCAGAGGCGCGAGAGGCAGCCGCCCCCTCTGCTGCCCCGGCAGCGCCAGCCGGCCCCTGCGCCTGGCCACGATGCTCGAAGCCTGTCACCGCTGTCACGGCGCGCGGGCGTGTCGACCGAGGCGCAACGGCCGTTGTCGGCGTCGGCACGGCTGGCGGCCGCGGGGAACGCTGCTAAGCGGCACAGGGTAAGCGGCGGCGTGCGGCATCTGCCTGATGTGCGGAGCGATCTGAATCCGAATGCAGTCTGACCCTGCTGCATCAAGCCCAACCTCTCACCAGCTTACATGTCACAAAGCGCTGCAGTGGCCGCCGTCTCGCTCCTGCGGCGCCCAAGCATTTGGCACCCCCAGCCTTGTATTGATATAAACATGATATCTCTCTGCTGCCGCAGGACGTTTCGCCGGGCCAGGCATACCTAAGGGACAAGGCGGCACAGATGGCATTGAATCTGGAGGCCCGCCGGCAGTACGAGGCGCGGCTGAGGGCGACGTACTGCCCACGCGGCCCCACGCCCTCACCGCCGCGCCGCCGCGCGTGCTCGTCGCCGCAGCGGCCGCAGCCATCGCCTCCGCGTTTGCAGCCGTCGCCGCCGCGGCCGCATCCGTCGCCCCCCGTCAGCGCCGGCGGCGCCCTCCCGCGAGCAGGCGGCCGCTCCCCTGCTGCGCCCGCGCCGCCGCGCGACGCGGCCTCCCCAGC